AAGTATATGTTCGCCTTAGTTATTATTAAAAAAATCATCATATGTTTAACATCTGTGCTCGTTATTTAGTTGTAACTCTGACGTTCCCAGAAAATTAAATATTTTTAACAATTGAAATGCCTAAGTAAGTATATACTACAGATAAACGGATAAGCTTCAACACAGACATGAGCTGAGAGAAGGGCTCAATTTTTTGTAATTCATCGTTTTTTTATAGATATATAAAAACACAGTTGCATAACTTCACATATATAGTTCATGAAAATAGCAATGCAACAGGTTATTCTATTTAAATATCTTCCTAACTTATACCGACCTGCCAAATCAACCAGTTTGATTATTTTGTAAGAATAGACCTTTCGATTCAGTGCCCGCCGGTGGAAGCAGAGGAAGACCTCAACTCCGTTGCAGCGATCAGATAGAGAAGGACCTGGGTGCAAGTGGTATCTCGAATTGGCGCCAAATAGCGAAACAAAGAAACGACAGGCGGAGGGTTGTCAACTCGGTCATAACCGCGCAATCGGTTTCTACGTTAGTAAAGATGAAGAAGTAGACATTTCAAATCAGCTGTTCATTAAAATAGCAGTGTTTGTCGATAGAGGTTCCTATAAGATACTATACTTAAAGTGTTCTTTCCTTTTTATTGGGTAGAAGAAGATTTTATTCTATCGAGAAGTATAAATTCATAGTGAAGGTATGACGATAAGACAGAACTTAGACGGAATCGAAGCTATAAGGATATACATTTCCCCAATGATAACTGAATGGTACAAAATAGAATGATAAAGCGAAGAATTGTGGGGAAAAATATAAAAAAATCAATATTAGAGAACAGAAAGACTAAACGATGAGGCCAAAAGCCGCCCTAAGCATCCTAAAAATTTGTTTAAACTTGAAACACTTTAACAAAGATTATGTATCTGCAGATTATGTGGCTGCAAGAATAAAATTATCAAAAGAACATTGCATTTGGTCATCTGTAAACTGGCGGGAATATGATTTGAGCTAATGAAAACAAAATTTCTTATTTTTTAAGAAACGGGATTCCAAAAGCAATATATCATTCCAGGTACACTACCAAAACTTTTAAACATGGTGGTCTAAGCTTTATGGTGTGGGTTTGCTTTTCGTATCATTAACACGTTGAGGACGGTGCAGTTTTTAGTAGTCAGTTTCATCTGGCGACTCCTAGAACGGTTACTAGCTAAGGGAGATGTAAAAATGCGAAGCCAGACGCAAAGCGCAACGCGACATTATGGCAGAGTTAGAGCGTTGAGAGAAGGGAGCTTTCTTCTAGTTGTTCTTTTGATTGATTGATTTTCAGAATACACGCGTGCTTTTAAAATAAACGGCAATTGAAGCACAGAATGTAAGAAAACAAAATGATTGAAGCGGTAGAGCACGTTGCAAACAGCATTCTCGCTTTGCTCTTGCATAGCTGTTTGAACTTGCAACAACTTATTATAGATTGCCTCCTGGATGAAATGCCTACAGAACCGCAAGCACCCAGAAGAACTATACATTTTCTTCAGAAATATCCTGGAACCGCAAGACAGTCCCAGAAATGATGCCGTGTGTTATTATATAGAACACTATCAGCTCAACGAGGCAAAATTTTTGCTGAAAAGAGAACTAAAAAAGTTACAACGTTCTAGCAATTTTATGAAAATAAACCACCACTTTGTTTAAAATGTTTAAAAAAAACTCACAATTATTAAAAAATATATTTAAAAATTTGTTTTGATTATTTTTTATTTTATTTAAAAATAAAAAAAATTCTGAATTAAAGACGGCGTGACCCAACGGTCAACGTGTTAAGCCGGTGCTATACTTTTGATCAATGGCATCATGGATCGAACAGTATATGTAAACCTACTGAAGGATGTTTTGTTGCCATTTGCCAGCTGGGAAATACTCTCAGTAGGATAACGAGGGGTTTGCATCAGAAAAGATGGACGTATTGTCCTGGCCAACGCAGGCAGTGGTCCTGAATCAAATCGAAAATTTATGGACAGATATTAAAAGAGTTGTAACAATAGAAAATCCATAAAATGGTACACCACTTTGGCTAGAAGTCATGGAGACATAGGAGTATGACCAAAAATCAATCGAAAGCAGTTAGAATTTAAAATTTGAATTGTTAACTGTTAACTGTTTCTTGTCTTTTCCTATCAACCACTACGATTTTCGTGAACTGAATTTTAGTTTTTTTTAATATACATATTTTTTTGGAAAAAAAATGCTTATAACAGAATACAGAAATAGCTAAAAAATATTTAATTCTTCTTTTGTACCTAACTTGATGTCTACACTAATTATGTCCAGGTACTTCCCCGTTTGAGTAGCTTTTTTTAGAAATTGCGTGTTCACTTCTAATCAGTAAAGAACAGTTCAAAAATATTATTTGGGCTTTATTATTGTGCTTTACCGCTTACTTATACGTTTACATAGTTACATACATATGGCCAAATGCAAATACACACCATGCATGCTAGTTACGTCGTTCTTGTATATTAGAAGTATATAGCAATAATGTGGAAATCTCAACAAACTGGCACTGATACTTTGAATGTAGAGTTGAATTGTAGTAGAGTTCGTCAAACATATGTTGTTGCCATTAAATTAACAGTACATCCACTGCTCCAAAACTTCGTTTAGAAAAGGGACAATCCACTCCGAAGGCAAGGTGGGTTTACTGAGCCTAGCATCAAAATTGTACAACTAAAGAATAGGATGTAATTAATCACTTAAAGTTCTTAATTTCCACACAATTTTCGAACTACAATAAACGTAAAATTTAAATGATATTCCTACTTAAAATCATATCATCCTAATAGAGCATTTTTCGTCTAGGTACAAATAGCCCTAAATTGAACACTTAATTTCGAAATTATGGGTAATAAACAGACAAATACTTAAACAAAATTCTAAGAAACTATTAATGTGCCAAGAAATATGCTCTAAACATTTATCAACTATTATTTGTTTTGATGATAAAATTCCAAACAAACTGGTTACGCCATTAATTTGCAACGTTATCTTCTCTTAAGATATGGTGTGATAAACAAAATTGAAATCTAAATATGGAAATCTTTATGACTTAAAAACAAATGTACATTAGGGTGAGCAAATGCTCACTTAAGTTTCCCACACAAGTAAGCTGTTTATTTTCACATACATAGATATGCGTATATTTAGGTAGCCTAGGACCACCATGCCGTATGAGCAACACATAATGTATAGTATAAATCCCTTGCGTGAATGTTCAGCACATTTGATGTATGTATAACTTTGACTGCATATAATTTTTAAACGATTTTTTTTTAAGCCAATACGCTCCTTTGTGTAGATTATATTAGAATTACTTGTTCTAAAATTATAAATTTACCCTTATGTGTTTACATATTTATGTCAAAGTTAAGTAATTGGTAAAATTTGATTTAACCATTTCGACTATGTTGGGCCCTGATTCTCCAAACTTACTAGTGTAACTTTGATGTTATACACATACGACTAATAAAGGGATCCCTAGGTCATAAGTTTTCTTAGAATGAGTCTCTTCTATGTTATTGTCCACCGGGGCAATGCTTTTATATACTCTTGCCACAGAGTATAATAGGTTTGTTCACCTAACGGTTCACTTTCCTGTTTGCAAATCAACCAATGAAAGTATCGGTATTCGAAATTAGAGATCATGTTTTTTTAATAATAGTTAATCTTTGTGCCTAAAAAGGATAAAATTGTTTGAAAACTTGCTCAGGCTCCATATAACTAACAAACCATATGTACCTGAACGTTCGGTTACACCCGAAATTAGCGCTTTCTCACTTGTTATTTGAACGTGATATTGGTCTGTAATGCGCTATTGTTGTATTTTTCGATATTCAGGTATTATGAAGCCGACGTACCTCATTCTATATTAGAAACGTGCCAACTTTTTTCATGGAAAATAAAAACTAAAAAATTTATCGTAATTCTGGGAAACAGTAAGGTGGTTGGTGTCAAGCATTTATACGATCTTCCGTTCGATGTTATTTCTTTCCACGCAGTTTCAACAAGGCAAGTAAAAAAAACGTGTTTTTCCGCAAATTAAAATATATTGCATTAGCGTCAAACTAGTAAGAAAGTGTCCCAGCACGTTACAACTTACGTAAATACCAATTTAATATTACAACATCCCTGTTATTTGGAGTAGTTTATATCTCATTCACTCGTGTTTTGTTGTGTAGATATTAATTATTCAAATAATCTGTATGCATAGTGATCAAATGTAAGATAATATGATACCAGTCATATTCCGGTTACATGGATATCACTTGCTTGGATCATTATGTTCCCTATACGGGTGTTCCTAACACTTCCTGTGTCGACAGACAGTGGAGAGTGCAGTTTCTCTAATTAAAATGTACGTGTTTTTTATTTTATTTCTTGGAAAATTTTCAAAAGTTCACATTGTTGTTTAGGTCCAAAACGGCGGAGAATCTGGCGTTTTCTTAAGGTTGTAAATTGTCTCGGGCCGACCCTGGCCTTATACAAAGTACAAATAGAGATTTCTGGAAAGTAAAATGGTGTTAGGGTTCTCATTCAAGCGACCGATCTAAATGTATTTTTTAAGGGAACCCTATAGTCTATATTTCAGTTTCCTTTAGCATTAATCAATAGCCGGAACTTTCTTTACGTCCAGATTGTTAAATAAAGTTTGAAGTTTTGAACTGGCTTCCAAGAGTTTATTAAACTCCTCTTCGTCATAGTTAAGATCTGTCTGCATCAGTTGAATAACTTAAACTTTCTCATGGAGTTGTTGTTTGTATGATGTATTAAAACGTCGTTATTTAATCATTTTAACATAAAAAAACTGTAACATATACGTAACATTATTTTCCTAAGGTAATGTCTTCAGCCTCAAGTCCTTACCTTAGTCGTAAATAACTTTATTTCACAATCTAACATCATTACTCAAAATACTAATACTATTCTTATATGTATATTGACTCTTCCAGCATGGCCTGCATTCAAGATGGACTGGAACATATGAGAATAGGTGGCGCTAACCTTTCCTACACAACAGACATCGACTTTCATCGCCCACAACCAGAAAATAACGGTACAGACAGTTCGGATAATACCTGTCAACATCGGTGGACACCCACAAATGGTTACCATGACAAGGGTATTGGAGTGATGACAAGCCTACTGGGTTGTATGAAACCAATACTCTCCTTTATGACCAAGACTGGCGTTATCGAGATCAAGGATCCGAAAGATTACGCTTGGGAAATACCGTTTGAATGCATAACGGGGTTGGAGTGGCTCGGCAGCGGTGCGCAAGGTGCCGTCTTCAGTGGAAAGTTGAACAACGAAATTGTTGCTGTGAAGAAGGTGAAAGAACTGAAAGAAACAGATATTAAGCATTTAAGAAAGTTGGATCATCAAAATATTATTAAATTCAAGTAAGTACTTAAAAACGAATACATTTCCTTTATAATCTCTTACTCAACTGTTGTCTTTCCGCAGAGGTGTTTGCACACAGCCGCCTGTATTTTGTATAATCATGGAGTTTTGTCCCTATGGTCCACTACAAAATATACTGAAAGATCAGCGGAATAAGAAAGTGATGCTGCCATCACGTTTAGTCTCGTGGTCAAAGCAAATTGCACACGGCATGCAATATCTGCACTCACATAAAATCATACATCGTGATTTGAAGAGTCCCAAGTGCGTATACAAGTTTCTAAAAATATCTTGGTTAGTCTTAATTTAGTTTCTTCCTCTATCTGCAGTATACTGATTGGCCATCAAGAGATAGTGAAGATCAGTGATTTTGGTACAAGCAAAGAGTGGAATGAGAAAAGCACGAAAATGAGCTTCGCTGGTACCGTAGCTTGGATGGCACCTGAGGTGATACGTAACGAGCCGTGCTCGGAGAAGGTCGACATCTGGTCGTATGGTGTTGTACTGTGGGAAATGTTAACATGTGAAATACCGTACAAAGATGTCGACTCGTCGGCCATAATTTGGGGTGTGGGCAATAACTCATTGAAACTACCGATACCGTCCAGTTGCCCAGAGGGTTTCAAATTATTGGTAAATTTATGTTGGCATACTAAACCGCGAAATCGTCCCTCGTTCGGGCAAATATTAACGCATTTGGAGATTGCCGGTCCGGAGCTTTTGCGTAAAACCGACAACGGCTACTTCGAGGCACAGCAATCCTGGAATGAGGAAGTGCGTATGCATTTCAAGGAAATCTCACAAAATGGCACAAGCATACATAAATATGAACAGGACTTGATCAGACGGCGCACGGCTGAGTGGCAGCATGCGCAGGACATACGGCTGGTCTACGAGGATAAGTTGGAGAAGACAAATCGACTGTATTTAGAATTAAGTGAATGCATGACACAACTACAGGAAAAAGAAAAGGAGATCGCTATGTATGTTTCACAGTTTCCTTTTATGAGAAATACCAATTGCAACTCTTGTATATTTTTCTTTTTTAGGCGCGAAAAGCAACTGCCAGGTTACAAACCCTCGCGACGCTTGGGCAGCACGCTACGAAAAATACAAAATTACCGTAGACGACTTAATCCACCTATTAATATACCAGGAAATGCTCAAAAACAACAACAGTCGTCATCACCTGACCCCGAAACAACGCCAGAGGTAAATTACGTAGCTATCTCTTAGTAGGATTAACTTGAATGAAACCATAAGTTTCTTCTCCCAAAAGAGCATTGATCTCTTTCTAGATACTTAGGGTTATAGCCTACAAAAATCTTCAGTACTCAGCTCAACTGGAATGTTTGAAAGGCACGCCGCATTATTCCTTGCTGAATTAAATGCCTTTCCCAGTATTGCTGTAAGAATTTTATAAGGGCAACCCTAGATCTCTCAAGATTCGAGATATTTAGTTTTTCTTAATTCATAAATCAAATTGCTTTGAGCCGATTAGGATAGTCCGTTGATCTCCCGCTTCAAACGATCATGAACTATTCTAATATTCGTCACATATCCAAAAATATATCGATGGTAACTGTGAAAATCTCTATAATTTCATTCTATTTCATAAACCGCGAAATTATTCAAACTTGATGCTAACTTGTTTCCATGGCAACCACATTTTCGTATTTTCTAAATTCTATTCTTCACTCACTTTCGTGTACTCTCTTTGACAGAGTCCACTGAAGGCAACACTCTACGCACAGGTTATAAATTTGAATAAGACGAAATCATATTGTGTGGCCACGCAGAAGCCAAAGAAAAGCAGACATCGGCGGGTTGGTTCCGGTGGTTTGGCCGCTGTACCCAAATATAGTCCAAGTCGAGACCGGCGATATCAAAGCGAACCAGAAAATCGTAAGAATGTTAAGTTGGTCGACACTGAAACTCAAACCGATGTCATGGATATTAGTGAAATGGATATTAGTCCAAATGCCTCGTGTGCAATGCGTGATATCTCTGTGACACTTGCTATGGAGTCTGGTTTGCCATCCTATGAAGTTTTATATCTAACAGATCGCATAAAGCAGCGCCAGTCGGCTCAACCACAAACCGCTATGCAATGTAGCCAACAGCCGATATATCATCGAAATGACCAACCACAACAGACAGATGCAACGGCAGCGGCGCTTACACCAACCAGTCTGAATGGTAATTCCATGACACCCTTGGATGTGACATTCCAAGATGCATGCTCTAGTCCCGACCAATTGCTCGACGATGTTATCAATAGCAACGAAAGACTTGACTTACCCGATTATTGTAGTTCCAATGAACATCTCGATCGTCTTGGCGAAAAGGTGATCAAGTTTATCAATGAAAATCGACTGAGCATACAGACTACAACCTCAATCAGTAATCAAGGTGAGCTGCCGACAACTCGTCTGCAACCGTCTGACAATGGCAATGAGAACACAAGCGATGGAAATGGCACAAGCAGACATGATTTAAGTCGCGATGCCGCATTGGAAAGAATGACGCCAAGAACGAGTAGTGTGCGACGAAAACACCAGCACACATTGGACAAGCCCTTGGCAGTGGAGGAACAAGCGTGCAACAATGCGAATGGTGAATCCAACGAAGATATATTCGATGACAGTTGGTCGGATGAGGAGGGTGAGGATACCGACTACCATTATGGACTTAGACGCCGAAGGTAAGCGCAGTAGAAAGTAAAATCCTTTCAAAACACTGTTTTTTATCTCGCACCATAAAAAGAGCGTGAAGCTAAAACTTCCGGCCAGTATACAACTGAGATGTCTGTTCGATAGATTTCAGTTAATAGTGGACAGAGGATTAGGACGTCAATGAGTTCTACCTGATAATTGACCACAAGTTTAAGGTTTTTATTAAGGAAAGTTGATCTGTTTCTTTTCTAGAGCAAGTCTATGTGAAAAAGATTAAAACAATTTCGACTATATTCGAAAATAAACTCTGCGAGGTTCGTTAAATCATACATTTAATATTGCTTTCAAAAAACCCTTCACAGAAATCAGTTCCCCGTTGGTTACAAACTAATCAATATCTTCGACAATTTGACAGAAAGTATGGAAAAGGTTCTGAACCGCCGTTAATGCGTAAAGACTTACACATTGTCATTAATTCCGTCCCAATCTATGGAAGGTTTACAATCGTCGTATTCTGCACGATTTTTCACAGCTCACTTTCATTCTTCAGATTGAGTATGTTCCATGTAGATCTCTTCTTTTCTAACATGCATTTGTGTTTCGGCCACTTTTTTATTGACTGCTTTTGGCCCTATCGAAGATTTTCTAGTTGTTGTTGAAATTCTTTAACAGATTCATACGGAGACAGGAAATACTTCTCTCATTAGTTGATTTGAGTCGGTTTCGTCTTCAATAGAAAAATGATCGATCTGGTTTAAAGCTTTTCGATCCGAAAACAATCAAAAGATAGGAAACGTGAGAACAATTGCGGGAACCGATTTGCTTTGCGACGTCTACTCTAGTATAGGATTCGGGGTGTCGTTTCATATACGCGAAATATCTTCCACAATGTTGCTTACTTCACCCACCCAGAAAGACTCTGCCATAAAAATTGAAACTACTGTTATTCTTCTCTGATATTATTTGCGATAAACTAAGCAACGACTTTACTTAAATCAACTGCCTTTCTTCCCCTCCAGCATTGGACGCTTACCGATTGGACGCGGCATGCGTGCGCGTCGCGGGTACAAAATACCAATCATACCGAAAATTCCATTACACAAACGCAATGTAACCGTCGTATCGGATGAAGAGAACACCTCCGAGTATAGTCACTCACCGTCCAGCCAACATTCTACGCTCGAAAGTAATCCTGATGAAGTACTCAAACAAATGAAGGCAAACAAGAAGGTGATCAACGCTGCGACCGCCACAACAGACAGCGAAGAGGATGTCTCGTCGAGTAGCAGCAGCGATGATGCTGACGATCTCGAAACGCAGCATGAGCGTAGACCAACTACAACAACAGCAACGGCTGCCACAGCAACACAACGACAAAGGCGCGAACAACGACAACAGCAAGCACAACAAAAATATGCAACAACAACCAGAGCAATAAACATACCCGTTGCCGAGTCATGTAATGTCGGCCTGTCCAACATACCCAAACGCAGCGATGTCATCTCCATACCGACATACGAAGCGGACGGCGCAGTGGACATGGTCTAAGCTTGTGAACGCCCATCAACAAGTACTAAACAGGCTCATGAACTATACCTATTCCACGCATAGCTAAAAATGTATATTTACTTATACTATGTTGTATGAGGCTATAGTTCCATTAAACACATCAAAAGTAGCATGCAAAAACAAAAACAAAAAAAATTATAGGAAAACGAAAAAGAAATTATAAACGCAGAACAATTTCGCTTTAGTTCAAGTACATACATATGTATCTCAGAAAAAAACTTTAATGTCCTGTATTTAATATTACAAACTACCAGTTTATTAAGTAACCGTTACGATAAGTGTACAACAAACAAGTCAGACATCTTGTCATTAGTAATTAGTCATAATATGTATAATTACTTACATAATTACATACATTTACAAAGGATTGCATTAAATTAAGTACCCATTACATTGTAATTAAGTGCTTATTATATAATATTTAGTTTGAACAATAAGCAAGTAAATTGTTGTATGTGCACATTATTTAAAAACATAAATACTTATATACTACACACATGTACATACATATGTATGTATTTTCAAATACCGACTGTTACTTCATTAAGATTTCAAAGTAATCGCATGCTCCATTTGCCGGAAAAGAAGCATTTGATCGACTGTTGAAGTCTTGTATCGCTAGCTTTATTATTCGTAATCAATCGTGTTATGATAAAGGACTTTGAGAGCTCATACAAATACTCACTTCACTAAGGCAAAAGTATTTATTATATTACCGCAGTGTTCATAGTAACCGTTAGTTACGAGATTTGTATTAAATTGTCTCATTTGTATCAAAATCTTGAAAACCGAACTTTAGATAACAGGAAATTCCAAATGTACAATGACAGATGAGTAAAAAATTAAAAGGTTAACTGATGAGCATTTGTTTTATTATAAGAAAAAGCAGTTTTAGTTATGAAAAAAATGATCATCCGCTGGACGTATAGCATTGAACCCGTTCGATAGTTCGCAAAGGATCGAAATCAACAATGCTAAATCAGGACAATACATATTTCGATCTTTCTTTGATGAATATAATGAATAAATAAAAATAGCAATACTTCCAAGTTTTTTAAGGTAGCTTACTTGGAATAGGAGATATTCGGCGTAAATCGAAAGAGAAGAACACTAAAAATATATATTTCAAAATACTCTGCTATTTGGAATTATAATATATTTTTAATTGAATTTATTGAAGGTAGATAGTTTCATACATTTCTACCAAATTTAGTAGGATCGCCGGTAACTAATGACGATCATTGTTCAAAACGATTTAATATATATTTTTTTCTTGCACATGAGTTTTCTCTTCTTTACTTTTAAGTAAACAAATAAATAACGCAATTTTTGCGTAAAATACTGTTACATAAGAGGAAAAAACCTTAAAGCTAAATTTGATGTAAAGTTCAACCTTCAAGCTACAGTATTTTTGCAATTTACGTGCGGTACTACGAAGCCAAATAAGAAATAACGCCTCTCAAAGTATACATAGTAGGCCCACATTGAAACTCATTATATAATAATGACGTTATATCTTTCATAATCCACTAATGTTCATCACAATCCACGGTACTGTGACGGAGTAAATAATTTAATGTTTTGCCTATACTTATTTGTGAGTATCATGTCATATATACAAAACCATTATAATTAAAATTTAAAAATTTCTCTGTCTTGTGGAAACTTTAAATATTTATTAGATGTATGTAACCATTTCCGCAACAACTGTTCCATATAAACACACATACATATATATGTAAATAAGTATATTTGTTTTTAAATTGTGATGCACTTATCTCGAGTCTCGCCATTTATAAAGAGTTCAAGTTACTTGTTGAGCGTTTGATATTCAATTACTTTTAAAATAAATACTATTTAAATTACAATAACGCAAAATTACAAAAAGAAAATAATATTAAAACAAGAACATCATTATATATTTATGTAAACTGTCCATATATAATTACCTTAAGCTATTTGTGTATAAAGTCCAGTTATTAAATTGTACTTGATTGCAAATGTACTTAGTTTCGTAATGGAAGCGACGAGATTGCTTGCCTGTGCCTGCTATTCCACGAATACATCCTTATAGTTGCATATACGTTTATATTATGTACTTATATGTTTTAATAGAAATACATACATCTATTTTTAAGTATGTGTGTAGCTCATATCTTTATTTAAGTTAAGTTGTCTTATGTGTTCACGTAATTTAAATACTTAAATACATACATACATACACACACATTTCATAGATTTATTGTTTTAAAACTTAAGTAAATACTTTTTGTTTGGCTATTATTTGTTGTAAGTAATACATTGTTTAATTTAATTCAGCAAACAATAAATATACATAAATATTTTAGTATATAATTGATTCATTATATATAGTACATATGTATATACTTTTCTATACATATGTACCATAAATATGACTCCTCTTTTCTGCGAGGTCAGTTTGTTAAGTTCATCAGGAGTCCGTCCGTACATAATTTCAATGTAGTTTTTTCGTACATATTCGATTTAGCTTAGCCCGAATTGCGAATTTTTAAAATCAATAATTTTTGTTTAAGAATTGGAAATTCAATTCAAATTAATTTAATATATTTTTAAAGTACATTTAATTTTTTAGTTTAATCAGAATTAAGAATAAAATAAAAGTAATTTTTGTTATATTTAATCCGGTTCTTGGTATTACAACTTTTTCCATTTTTTTTGGGATTAAGTCTATTTTTCCAGAGCGTATTTGGGTTTAAGTGTTATTTCTAATAATGATTTTCGAGATTACAAAATTAAAAAAACAAATGTTAATTCAATTATTTTATCAAGGTATTATTATTTGCAGCTCTAATCTGTGCTACCAGCAGAAAATTAATTTTATACTTCTTGCGCCTAAAAGCAGATGAGGTAGCTACTTTACCTACCTTATAACTAAAAAATATCTGTACTTTTTTTTAATTTATTCTGCGTCTATATCAGTAGAATATCGAAAATCCTTACACAATTCTCCAATTGTAATCACAATACATTGAATTGACCTTAAGCACATAATTTGGCTTCTTTTGAGAGCTTTATTTTATTGTTATTTTAATCTAAGTGGGTACCTCGATTACAACCCTAAATGTAGGCAACGCGTGTTAAGGACCAAGTTTACTTGTGAAAACTTTTTACTGCAAGTCAGTTGGTAAATTATATTATTACGAATATTGAGTATTATTTTAATGTCATTTAAAAAAATAGCAACACCCAATAATAAAATGAATTAAACTACTGTGGTTGTTAAGATATCCCTGGTCAGCTGACAATCGTTCATCAAATACAAATACCGACGACTTTGCGGTCGTCAGATTATCATCTTCGTACTTTTCCAAAAAAAAATTATTTTAACACCACATTCGAAGCTTTATGCGCAAGATAAGAAATATAGTCCACATTACTCCAAATAGTTTCTGCTCTTAGATGTTATAGCATACAGCTGTCATTCTGTTCTGGCCAGAAACTAACCAATTAACCATCTTTCGGTAAAGTTTACCAGAACTTACCAGTTATGTTAAATTGCTAACCAAATATGGAGGAAAGGGCCTTTATTGTTCGAATAGTTTTCCATTACTTTCTTCATTCTTTCTATTGTCGCAATATTTACTACTATATATATATTTGGAGTTTAAATTTGAGGAATTTTGTCTGTTGTAAAATTATTAATTATTTGTTATTATTGTTGCGAAACTATAAAATTTACTTATGATTTTAATGTGTTGGTGGCAAAATTGTGTGTAGCTTCAGATTCAGAAATTTCATTTCTTACTGTTGTCATTACTGAGTTTAAACCCCAAGTACCACTCTAGCAGAAATTGCTAATAAGACAAGACAATTGGAGCACTTTTAGAAAAACGCTAATTTAAAAGTAAAAATCTTGAAACATCTCTTCAGTAAATGTACTGTTGCTGCCTCGTTCTGGCTTTGGCTCACAATTAGCTCAAAAGCGAATTTATCTTCCAAGAGAACTCAATCTAAGCAGTTGCAGGGTTCATTGGATGTCTTACGATTACACAGGTTTTTGGGGATCACTGCATGATTTTGTTCAATAAATATGTACATATGTACGTATATATGTGTATAGGGATCTTCATAAAAATATATAATGTAAGACAAGCATTCATTTCTTAACTATTCTACAATATGGTATACATATGTATAATGAAGACACTTCAAAGTCAACATAAATATTGTACTTGGATTTGTATTGTTATAAGTATATGAGTGTAATTTTAGGTACACACTTAATTACTTAATATTTTAAGTAGAGCAATTATTGTTTTCACACACATTCGTCCTTATTTGACATCATCGTATTGTTTTCTAGAATTAGAACTGCAGCGCATTGTAATTTGTGCTGTGGCTTTAAAGTCAAGAGCAATTTCGTTAATTGCAAATTGTTTTCACTATTTTAGGGATATTTTAAGCGTATGTGCAATAGTTGTAAGCACTCAGGGTTTAGGAAGTGAATAGATACTCTTATGTAAATCACATAGTCTTAGCGTTTTAGAAGCAGAATAATTATTTCTTTAAAAAAACGAATTTTTTAAACAATGGATTGATTAATATCTTCAGACAAATGTATTGTTCCCAAAAGTAAAAAAGGGTAGTTTAAAAGGAAGAAACATTAGTTCAGGGTACTTCGATTGAGACTCTGACCTTTGTCGTTGGTCCTGTGTTTTTAAAACTAATCCAGCCAGCAGCGTAGTGAACTTCTTATAATTTGACAGCTCTCTATGGTTATGATTTAGATACAAAAATTCAAGAAAATAATTAATACAAGGATTATGTCGAGTATTCCTTAATTTTTTTGTAGTGCGTTGACAAAGATTATTCGAGGCCTCATGAAAGAAGGGGCGGTATACTTCGGGCACATTTAATGCGAATGTTTGATAGTTCGTTTCACTTAAATTGCGCTCCGCAGGTTTGTTCTTTTCTCAATTTAAACAAATTCTAGTTTTTTTTTTTGCATTAGTGTTAACTTAACAATTTATATAACTTAAATACTTGGTAATATTAATCGTATACAACCTTTTTCAGCAACCACGCACCAGTAGCTTTATTCTCTGATTTTCGAAAAAGTGTCTCTATTACGTCAACGATAAATTTTATAAGACAAACACATGAGTATTTTTCGATAACTGCCAAACTAAATCAGGCTCAGGTCCCGGAGCCTCAGTATGGGGACTGCATATCCACAACTTGCAAAGGAACGCTTTTTAATTGGAAAATTTTATTTCTGAAATCGTAACAGTATATCATTTAAACTTTTAACGGATTTAAGAGAGCTGGCCGCACAGTTTAGCTAGGTCCGATCTACATTGCAATAGCTTCTTCAAATAACGGTTGCCTCATGAGCAGAAGTCAAAAGTTTAGAGTGCAAGGAAGAATAGGAACGAACTAAAATCTTTGGAAAATGAATCGTCTCTATTAATTGAAATTATGGCTTAATAAGTACATATATTATATAAGATCTTTACATTCCATATTGTAGGACGTCAGGTTCCAACTCTAGCTTCAAGGTAACGAATAGGAGGACTATAACAAGGTCATTATTCATTAAAAAAGTTTTTTGAGAGCTTTAGTAAAGAAATCGTGTTTATTGAGTTATATATAGTATACCTATATGTATATCTGCATAGCTTTAGAACTAAACTTTTCCTATTTCCTAATAATTTATTGTCGATCATATTTCAAAGTTTTGCTGCAAATCTTGCTTTCATCCACATATATTTTGCGTTTGCCAAATACTAGTAACAGAAACACAACTGTGCAACTCAACGAAATTTGGGAGAAATCTAAAGCGTTGAAAAGCAACCAGAATTAGAGTTTAAATTAGTAGAGAATGAATCACGAAATTTATTGAAAATTTTTTTTTGAAAATGTCAAGGAGAAATTTATTTGCGAAAACTTATCTTTAGTGAAACAAAAAAGCGAGAAAAATTTTGCATACATAAAGAAATAAGTGTGTGTATATATTTTGAGTGAGTTGTACATCACTTTTGAAGTTGCAATGGTATTTTGCACGAATTTTTGCTTCAGTGCCTTAAACTCAAAAACATAAATTTATGTTGCAAAATCAGTACACAAGCGGAAAATGTAAAAGATCGGAACAAGATTAAACAAAAAAAAAAAAAAAAAAAAAAAAAAAAAAAAAAAAAACAAAAAAAAAAAAAAAAAAAAAAAAAAAAAAAAACAAAAACAAAACACACACAGAAAGTGCTATGAAATGTGTAATTTTCTATTGAATTTGTGCAAAAACTGATAAAAGCCTCTTTAGCTCTTTTTAAGGACATATTTTTTAGTAGTTTACAACGAGCATAAATTCGTACATACTAGATATATACATACAGTGAAAACTCATATACATATATAAATTCTTATTTGCAAATGTAAAGTAAATAAAAGCTTATTACACATACATATATCTGTCTCTTATACACATCTAGATGTGTATAAGAGACAGTACATATATAGCACTCACATACGGTATTTATGTATAGTACATGCATATACAAATACATATACATACACTCATAAATATATACAAAACTATACATATATTAAATATACATACATATATGTACGTGCATAAATACTTACTTGTATTTACAAAAATATTGTGAAATAAAAATTAAACTTATAAGAGTTCACCGAAAATATATATTTGCAGTGTTTTATTTCTTCTAAATGGTGGTCCATTTCGAGGCTGCCTATTTTTTTCAAGAAAAAACACCGAAACTTCCAATTTATTGGGGAATTTTTATTATCATTCTAAAGAACATTCTTTGGAATCTCTTTCAAATGTTGGAGAGCTACGTCTCACATAGTCCATCCGTTGAGTCCAATTTTCCATGCCTCGTTCTAGTATTTCGACCGATAATTGCCGAATGACGTACGCGATGTTTGCTCCAAGGCCTGAGTCGAAGCGGGATCGTAAGCATTGACTTTAGACTTTATATATCCCAGAGGAAAAAAACTAACGGCGGTGTGATATAACACGATCTTGGTGGCCAATCGGCCGGCCCAAAACGTGAAATTTTCTGCTCCCCGAAGTGTTCTCTCAATAAATTCATTGATTGTTGTGATGTACGGGAAGTGCCGTCGTCCTGATGAAGCCAAATGTCGCCGAGATCACGAGCTTCAATTTCAGACATCAAATAGTCGGTTATCATGGCGTTACAACGGTCGACATATCGTCCCATATGCGG